CACCTTCGAGCAGAGGGATCAACGGTCCGGTGAAACAGCCAAGGAATACATCGCCGCGCTACGGAAGGCCGCCAAGCCCTGAGAGTTCAAGGACCTCGAGGAACGACTGAGGGACCGATTCGTGTGCGGGCTAAGGCATCGAGAGCTACAACAGAGACTTTTTGCCAAGGAAGAATTATCCTTCCAAGAAGCCTTAAGGGAAGTCACCGCAGAAGAAGCAGCAGGCGGCGCCATCAAAAACATGCGGCCGATCAGAAACAGTGCAGAGGGTGCGTCCGTGCACCAGGAAGACGTCCGACGAAACTCCGAGGAGGATCCGGACGAGGAAGTCGACCGTCTACACCCCGCGAAGGAAGAGAACCAGAAGGAAAGCTCTTCGGCTCCGCTCAAGTGCATCGGCTGTGGAGGTCGCCACAGGAGAACCGACTGCAAGTTCCGCTCCGCTACCTGCCGGGCATGCGGCAAACAAGGGCATATTGCAGCTGTGTGTCTGAGCCGACGAAAGGCCCAACCCCAAGAAGAACGCCTGAAAGGTACCAGATTCCCCAGCCAGAATAGGGTAGGGTTTTGCGCTTCGCGAAGAAGCATCTGTAGAACAGGCACACACAAGCCCATGAAGAAAAAGCTGTCACTCAAAGTGAAGCTACAAGGGGTTCCATTATCTATGGAACTAGACACAGGGTCTGCCCTGTCCATCATTTCATTGCATACATTTAGGAAGATTTGTTCCAGTAGTGGGTCTAAGGCAAAGTTAAGGCCTTCTGATATTGTATTAACAGATTTTCAGAACTCAAGAGTGTGTGTTAAGGGGGAGGCCACCCTTAACGTGCAATACAAGAGTTTTGAAGGTCCACTAGACTTACTAGTAGTAGGGGGTGAACGAACGAGTCTCATAGGACTCGATTGGTTTGAGGCCCTGGGGATACACGTCACAGGACTCAACAGCTTACAAACACTCGACCTACAGGAAGTCTGCAAAGAATTTGCAGATGTTTTCAGCCCCCAGCTGGGCACATTCAAAGGACCACCTGTGTCCTTAAAGCTAGACCCAACTGTCACTCCCATTAGGATTAAAGCAAGAAGGGTCCCTTTTGCTTTAAAAAGTAAGATTGACACTGAACTAGACAAACTAATCCAACAGGGAATCCTAGAACCTGTTGATTCCAGCCCGTGGGAGACCCCCATTGTCATGCCTCTAAAGGCAAATGGGGACATTCGCATTTGTGCTGATTACAAATGCACACTCAATAAGGCATTGCAGCAACATGCCTATCCTGTTCCTGTGGTCAGTCACATCCTGGCCTCTCTCAAGGGGGGGCGTGTTTTTGCAAAGCTTGACCTAGATCAAGCATATCAACAGCTGCCTGTTGATGATGATGCTGCCATAGCTCAGACCATTGTGACCCACAGGGGAGCCTTTAAAGTAAAAAGGCTACAGTTTGGAGTAAATGTCGCTCCTGGGATTTTCCAAAGCGTAATGGAAAACACACTACGAGGTATACCAGGGGTCTGCCCCTACTTTGACGATGTCTTGATTGCAGGAGACTCCACACACCTTCTAGCTGAAAGACTTAGGGCTGTCCTGTTAAGATTCAGGGAATCAGGCCTCAAGCTCAGAAAAGACAAATGCAAGATTGGGGTGCCTTCTACTGAATTTCTGGGATTCAAAATTGATGCTGCTGGGATTCATCCTGCTGAATCCAAACTAACTGCTATTTTAGAAGCACCCAGGCCAAAGTCTAAGGCCGAACTTCAGGCCTTCCTAGGCCTCCTGAATTTCTACAATTCTTTTCTTCCACATAAAGCTAGTGTAGCTGAGCCTCTTCACAGGCTACTAGACAAACAAGCTGTGTGGCTGTGGTCACAAACACATGAGGCTTGCTTTAAAGAAGTCAAGGCCTTGCTCACTTCTAACAGTGTTCTTGCACATTTCAACGAGTCTCTTCCTGTGTGCATCGCTTGTGATGCATCCCCCTACGGGGTTGGAGCTTTCCTGAGTCACCTCAAGTCTGATGGAACTCAGGTTCCTATGCATACTACTCCAGAACACTGTCTTCTGCCGAGCGCAACTACGCTCAGATAGACAGGGAGGCTCTGGCTGTTGTTGCTGGAATTAAAAAAATTCCACGATTTTCTATATGGCAGGCATTTCACGGTCTTCACTGACCATAAGCCTCTGCTGGGACTGTTTACCACACGTAAGCAAACTCCCCAAATCATTTCCCCTAGAATGCTCAGGTGGTCTATTTTTTTGTCTGCATATGATTTTTCCTTACTTCACAAGCCTGGGAAAGAGATGGGCCATGCTGATGGCCTCAGTAGATTGCCCCTGCCAGTAATAGAAGCTGACCCTGCGCCAGCTGGTCAACATTCTATCATCAAAGCCTGCCCGAGCTCCCTCTTAGTGCCAGGGTATGTGTACGACGAAACGGGTAAGATCCACACTTTCACGTGTCCGCTCCTGTGGTCCTGTCCGGGTGGCCTGAGCACTGCCCTAGTCCTGAGTTTCAGAGTTTCTGGTCCAAAAGAAACGAACTGTCCCTTTCTCAGGGTTGTCTGCTTTGGGGAAACAGAGTTGTCATTCCCACCTCAATGAGGACTAGGGTCTTAGAATCCCTCCACGAGGGTCATCCTGGCATTGTTCGTATGAAGGCTCTTGCACGAAGCCACTTGTGGTGGCCTGCTTTAGATAAAGATATTGAGGCTAAGGTGCACGCATGCCACCTGTGCCAACGATCTCGCCCAGAGATGCCCCAAGCTCCTGTGCATAGATGGGAGGAAACACAGTCCCCATGGTCTAGGGTGCACATTGACTACGCTGGGCCCTTTCAGGGCCAGTTCTTCTTGGTCCTTGTTGACAGCCATTCAAAATGGCTTGAGGTTGTGCCTGTCTCATCCACCACCACTGCAAAGACTATTCAGGTACTGAGGGGGATTTTTGCTGCACACGGGCGCCAGATGTCATTGTGTCTGACAACGGCCCTCAATTCACCTCCTCCGAATTCCAAGCTTTCTTACAGGCAAACCTGATTCGTCATGCCACGTCTGCGCCTTTTCACCCGTTCCACCAACGGTATGGCGGAACGCATGGTGCGAATCGCAAAGGACGCCTTGAAAGAGACTCACCTACGGGGACTGGCATCACAGGTTGGCTGACTTTCTCCTTTCTTATCGCACCACACCGTCCACTTCTACAGGGAGAAGTCCAGCTGAACTTCGTTGGGGGCGCAAACTTACTACTAGACTTGACCGGTTGCATCCGGACAGACTGCCTTCATCTACCTCACATCCTAGGGCACCTAGACAACTACTTGTGGGTGCCCCGGTTTGGGCTCGCAATTACGGGCCTGGTCATACATGGGTCCCCGCTTCTGTTTCCAGGATCACAGGTCCTCTCTCCTACGAGGTTGCCCTGGACAACGGTCGTGTCCTGCGTCGGCACATCGACCAACCTTCGCTCTAGGCGAGACTTTTCTGCTGAGACTCCTGGGTCTTTTCCAGGGGGGGAGGGGGACCCTTTGGAGCAAAGGGAAGGGCAAGAGCTACTGCCCATCTCCACTGAGGGAGCCACAAACGGCCCGTCCCCAGATTCCGCAATTGCTCCGAAAAGGAAGTCATGGAGCTTACCCACACAACAGGCATCCACGCCTACTCCAGCCAGGGAGTCACCCCGGGGGCATACTCACGTTCCACACACGTCACACAGCACTCCAGTCACGGAGGATACCCGGGGGCATCCCAACAAATCATTCCCCGCAAGAGAGCTGGCACACAATCCCCAAGGTTGGCCTGACCTTACCCCAAATCCTACAGGGGGTCAAACATACACAGAGCTAGTCGAGGAACCAAGTCCCGACTACAACACCCCTAGCACAAATCAGGGAACACTGAGTTTTGGGAAAGTACAGAAACCCACACGAGCCCGAGCACAGAATGGGGTTCAGGGAATGGACAGCCTCCTGACAGGTCTTGGACTGACCTAGGAGGTTCTACAGAGACGCCCAGCAGTGGCTATCACTTCAAGGGGCCCGAGGGTCTACAGCTAGGCAGGTCAACCAGGTCACAAAGCAACAGAAGCCCTGGCCTGACGAGCCCGGTGGGCAAGCAAGCAGGCCAGGCATCGGGGCACAGTCCTTGGAAGACACCAGGGCACAATAGAGAGAACAGGCTCACGCCTCCCTCCAGTCAGGGGACTTATGCCAGTAACCCACAGCTAAGAAGGTCACAGAGAGCAAAGAAATCTCCTAAGTACCTAGAAGACTACATAACATTGCTGGCAAGGCAAAGGCCAGTAAACAGTGGGAGCACTGGGGAGCAAAATGTCATATAAAATAAATGTTGTATGTTGGTAGTAGTTTTAGCCCGGGGGAAAGGGGTGTTATGTCCCGAGCCTTTGCAAACGGCTCGGGCGTTTGCAGGCAGTCCCGGGCAGGTGCAAAGCTGCCCGGGACCAGACAGGCTGTCGCCAGCGCCGTGCGCATGCGCGGGTGCTGGCGCGGGAAAAGTAACCCATTTACCCGGGAGTTGCCTATATAAGAGGCTGCGAGGCGTTTGGGCGAGGCTGAAGCCATCTTCCTGTAAGCTGAACGCTGAATAAAAGAAACTGAGAACTCCAGCTGCTTCTCGTGTCTGTTTTCCCGCCAAGGACGCAACACTATATTTGCCCCCTTGAGTTATTTGCAAAAAAAAAAAAAAAAAAAAAACAAGGTGCCCTACAAAATAAATAAATAAAAACAAGGAGATAATGGAGTAAATGATGCCCTGTATGGCGACCACCTCTTCTTTTCTGCTTTCAGGGGGAAAGAGGAAGAAGAGGAAGACCCTCGTTCTGCCTCCGGGGACCCCCGGGGACCCCCGGCAAGAAAGGAGGAACGGTGAGCATTTGATCGTCAGATTGTCGATCTGAAAATCTGAAATCCTGAAGTCTTTGTTTCCATAAAGAAGGGGCCACCACCAAGAAGCTCCTTTTTTCTGGTCCCACCGGGTTGAACATCCCTAATCCGTGCAAGCATAATATGAAGATGATCAGGGGATTGGAGGCTAAAACATATAAGGAAAGGCTGCTGGAATTGAGTATGTCTAGTTTAGTGAAGAGAAGGACGAGGGGGGACAGGATAGCAGTGTTCCAGTATCTCAGGGGTTGTCCCAAAGAAGAGGGAGTCAAGCTGTTCTCCAAAGGGCCTAAAGGCAAGACAAGAAGCAACGGGTGGAAACTAACCAAAGAGAGAAGCACAACATGAAACTAAGGAGAAACTTCCTGACAGTGAGAACAATTAACCAGTGGAACTACCTGCCTCCAGAAGCGGTGAATGCTCCAACACTGGAAGTTTTTAAGAAGAGACTGGACAGCCATTTGTCTGAAATGGTGTAGGGTTTCCTGCCTGAGCAGGGGGTTGGACTAAATGACCTCCAAGGTCCCTTCCAATTCTGTTGTTGTTGTTTTGTTGTTATTTCCTACCTTCCCGTCCTAGTGGGCCAGGTGGATCTTCCTTCCAAGCTTTTCAAGAAAGGATCTCCAAACTTGGGAACTTTAAGATTTCTGGACTTCAACTCACAGAATTCCTCAGCCAGCAGCCTAGGGAGTAGTTTTTGCAGAGAGGAGGAGGATGGGGAAGAGGAAGAATGAGAATAGAATAGAAAACAATAGAACAGAATAGAATAGAATAGAATAGAATAGAATAGAATAGAACAGAAAATACAGAATATAGAATAGAATAGAATAGAATAGAATATACAGAATATAGAATAGAATAGAAAATACAGAATATAGAATAGAATAGAATAGAATAGAATAGAATAGAATAGAATAGAATAGAATAGAATAGAATAGAATAGAATAGAAAATATGGAATGGAATAGAATGGAATGGAACAGAATAGAATTGAAAATATGGAGTGGAATGCAATAGAATGGAACAGAACAATAGAAAATATGGAATGGAATAGAATAGAATAGAATAGAATAGAATAGAAAATATGGGATGGGATGGGATAGTAGAGTAGAGTAGAATAGAATGGAATTACAGAATAGAATTACAGAATGGAATAGGATGGGATGGGATGGGATGGGATGGAATAGAGTAGAGTAGAGTAGAGTAGAGTAAAAAATATATGAAATTAAATTTAATGGAATGGAACAGAAGAATAGAATAGCATAGCATAGAATAGAAGATATAGGAAATAGAACGGAACGGAACGGAATGGAACAGAACAGAATAGAATAGAATAGAATAGAATAGAATAGAATAGAAGCTGGAAGGGACCTTGGAGGTCTTCTAGTCCAGCCCCCTGCTCAAGCAGGAGAACCTATACATCTTAGACAAGTAGGAGAAGGAGACGTTTCATGACCCAGCTAGGTAGCATCATCAGGCGTATATGGCTGGCTGGGGAATTCTGGGAGTTGAAGTCCACAAGTCTTAAAGTTACCAAGGTTGGACACCTTTGATCTAGAAGAAGGAGCTCCTCATTCAAACTCTTACGACAAAAGGCTTGGTCTTTTTTTGGGGTGGTGTCCTCAACCCCTTTCAGGACTAGTCTGATGACGGGGCCTCTTTTTACCAGGGGGAAGAAGGCTTGCCTGGCCGGAAGGGAGAAAAAGGAGAACCAGGACTTTCTGTAAGTTGTTGGTACACCCGGGTGATCTTCCTTCAGCTTATAGGTAGTCCTCGGACATACGGCCCACGGGGGACCAGAATTCCCTCCGCTAAGCGAGGTGCTTGCCAGATTTTTGACCTTTTGGGGCACGGCCATTCAGCGAGTCGCTGCCATTGTTAAATGAATCGTGCGGTCGTTAAGGGAGTCCAGCTACCCCCAGTGACTTTGCTCGTCAGAAGGTCACAAAAGGGGATCACACCACACACAAACACACACACACACACACACTGCAACCATCCTAAATACGAGTCAGTTGCCAAGCGTTCAAAATTGGGATCGCGTGACCCTCGGGACGCCATAGTGGACGAAAGTGCGAAAAATGGCCGTAGGTTTTTTTTAAAAAAAATTTAATTTTTATTTTTTAGTGTCGTCGTAATTTTACACGGTTGCTAAACGAGTCGTTTGTCCAGGGGTAAACCCCAAGGATCGATCTCAGTCAGGCGGTTTTAGGTGTCATTCTGCAGGATTTCTCCGTCTGTCTGTCAGGATTGAACCAGGCCGAGGAATGCGCACGACGGCTTTTGGGGGAAATGGCAGGTTCAGGAAGGGACCTGATGGAAACCGCCGAGGACTGGCGCATCCTGGTGAACGGCGGATCGAGGCTGCCGTGGGAAATGTGGTTTTATTGGGAGAGCCGGGAAAGAAGGACTTGCAGGCTGTGAGGCTCCCCTGGAAGGGCAGAAGCTGAATTGGGAAATGCAGGGCAGGAAATACAGAGAGGAGGGGGATGGAAGGGTGGAGAAGTCTTCCTTCCTTCCTTCCTTCCTTCCTTCCTTCCTTCCTTCCTTCCTTCCTTCCTTCCTTCCTTCCAGCCTGCCATCCTCTCTCTCTTTTCCCCTTCCTTCCTTCCTTCCTTCCTTCCTTCCTTCCTTCCTTCCAGCCTGCCATCCTCTCTCTCTTTTTCCCCTTCCTTCCTTCCCTTCCTTCCTTCCTTCCTTCCTTCCAGCCTGCCATCCTTTCTCTCTTTCCCCTCCTTCCTTCCTTCCTTCCTTCCTTCCTTCCTTCCTTCCTTTCCTTCCTTCCTTCTTCCTTCCTTCCTTCCAGCCTGCCATCCTCCTCTCTTTTCCCTTCCTTCCTTCCTTCCTTCCTTCCTGCCTTCCTTTCTTCTCTTTTCCCTTCCTTCCTTCTTCCTTCCCTTCCTTCCTTCCTTCCTTCCTTCCTTCCTTCCAGCCTGCCATCCTCTCTCTCTTCTTCCTTCCTTCCTTCCTTCCTTCCTTCCTTCCCTTCCTTCCTTCCTTCCTTCCTTCTTCCTTCCTTCCTTCCAGCCTGCCATCCTCTCTCTCTTTTTCCCCTTCCTTCCTTCCTTCCCTTCCTTCCTTCCTTCTTTCCCTTCCTTCCTTCCTTCCTTCTTCCTTCCTTCCTTCCAGCCTGCCATCCTCTCTCTCTTTTCCCCTTCCTTCCTTCCTTCCTTCCTTCCTTCCTTCCTTCCTTCCTCTTTTCCCTTCCCTTCTTTTTCTTCCTTCTCTTATCATTCTTCCCCCTTCTTTTCTTCCTTCATCTCTCCCTCTCTTTCCCCTTCTTTCCCTCTTTCTTTTCTCCCTTCTTTCCCTCATCACTCTTTTTCTTCCTTTCTTTCTCTTTCGTTCTTCTCTCACTCTTTCCAATTCCTTCTTTTCTTTCTTCCTTCTTTCTCTCATAACCCACTTCCCTTTCTTCCCTCCTTCCTTCCTTCTTTTATCTCTCTCTCTCTTTCCCTTTCCTTCTCTCTCTCTCGTTCTTTCTTTTCCCTCCCTCTCTCCTCTTTCTTTCTTTCTTTCTCTCTTTCTTTCTTTCTTTCTCTTTCTCCCCTTCCTTCCTTCCTCTTTCTTTCTTTCTTTCTTTCTTTCTTTCTTTCTTTCTTTCTTTCTTTCTCTTTTCTCTGGTCGTAAACGCTGCAGAAAGTAAAATGTGTGGCTTTTGATGACAGCCCAAACCTGCTGCCAATTGTCCATTTGGGGGGGGATGCGATGGTCCCACTTCCTGAGCTGAGAAGCACAGTTGAATTTCCCTCTGTCGTCCCCCCCCCCCCAACACCAGAGCCAGCATCCCATTTGCTTTGCACACTTATGGGGCTAAAGAAACGTGTGAGAAGGGAGGGAAACTGACCGGAACATCCCTGTTGCGGATTCTTAAGCTCAGCTTTTGTGCTTGTCCACCCAGGCAGAAGACGTGAAGGTCATGGTCAGGGCCGAGCTGAGCAGGAAGGACGGTAAGGGTATTAAATTGGATCAATTTGAATGCCAGCACATCCCCAACTGGGAAAGGAAATTTAACAAGCATTTTTTTTTTTTTTTTACCCAGCCTGATCATAGACGGATCGGAGCAGAAGCCGGGCGGGCGGCCCCTGACCTTAGTGGTGGGCGGAGATGGTTTTCCTGCAGAATCTTAATTTGCACCTCCCTCTGGCCAGCAGAATGCAGAGTGACAAAGTCTGTGATTTATTTTCAGATCACAGCCCCGGCTCTGTGCTTTGGATTCTCTACTGCAGAGTTTCTCAACCTTCACAGCTTGAAGATGGATGGACTTCAACTCCCAGAATTCCCCAGCCAGCTAGGCTGGCTGGGGACTTCTGGGAGTTGAAGTCCACCCACCTTCAGGTTCTTGAGACAGATGGGGCATTCTGGGAGTTGAAGTCCATCCATCTTCAGGTTCTTGAGATAGCTGGGGACTTCTGGGAGTTGAAGTCCACCCATCTTCAAGTGCTTGAGACAGATGGGGCATTCTGGGAGTTGAAGTCCACCCATCTTCAAGTTGCCAGGGTTGAGAAACACTGCTCTAGTGTACATGGAGGCCAGAATCACATCTGACCTGCTTCATTGGCACATTAATAAGATGGTTGCACCAGTATAATCACCGTGACCCAAGCGATCCCCGAAAACTCAGATCCCCTTGACATGGGATCTACTGTGCAAATCTAACCATACCCAGAGTTACTTTGTGGTAAGGTGGGCAGCTAATAAATTTTACAAATACTAACATTAAAAAAAATGGAATAGAATAGAATGGAATAGAATAGAATAGAATAGAATAGAATAGAATAGAATAAAGAATAGAATAGAGTAGAATATAGAATAAGAAGAAAGAATAGAATAGAATATAGAATAAGAAGGAAGAATAGAATAGAATAGAATATAGAATATAGAATAGAATAGAATAGAATAGAATAGAATAGGAATAGAATAAAGAATAGAATAGAGTACAATATAGAATAAGAATAGAATAGGATAGGATAGGATAGGATAGGATAGGATAGGATAGAATAGAATAGAATAGAATAAAGAATAGAATAGAGTAGAATATAGAATAAGAAGGAAGAATAGAATAGAATATAGAATAAGAAGGAAGAATAGGAATAGAATAGAATAGAATAGAATAGAATAGAACAGGAAGTCGAGGACTACCTGTATTTCCCATAACATAAGCTTCCTTTGGCACCAGCCTTTATAATTTTATAAAACTTTATTGCTTTAAAAGCTCCTGTATTGCAAACACAGCTCAACCCCCCCCCCTTTTTTTTTTTTTTGGTCTGCTTTCACAGTTTGTGACGGTGAGTTGCGGAAGAGGAACCCTCCAATGGGAAGAGAGACGTCTCCCTTCCAACTCTGTTCTTCTGTTATATATCCTGGATCTGGCTGTCCATCGTTCTCAGGGTGCCCCGAGGATGCCAGATGGGGGAAGGTGGAGAGGAATTTGTGCCGCGATCGGATTGCGCTTTTCCGATTCTTCCTCGTTTCCTGCAGAGAAAAGCATCCGTGCCGCCCAACGGCGGGCAGAATCCGCTGCCAGTTCCTGGGCAGAGGTCCACCAGATGTCAGGGGAGGCCCCCATGTCCAAAGGTCCAGCAGGAGACCCCCTGGGCAAAACCACAGAACGGGACCAGAAAGGTACCAGACTGGCGGCGGAGAGACGCTCTCGGCCTTCATCCCTTCATCGATGTAACCAACGTTAACGTCCTCACTCCAGGACCACAATTGGGATAAGCCGCTCTGTCACTCGGTGGCCGGCCGCTAAGCGAGAAATCACACGACCGGCCTCGGGTTACAACCTCACTTCCCGTTTGGGGGTTCAGAGAATCGCCGTGCTCCTTGTGCGAGACATCACAGAACGGCGATAAAAAAATTGTTTTTATTTTTTTTTTACTGCGGGCATCTCGCCTTGGACTCTGCTTGGGGGTAGCTGGCTGGGAAATGGGCGCAGAGGCGGTTGTGTCCATGGCGAGGTGCGGCAACCGTTGTGGTATGAGGGCCGGTTGTAAAGTGACCCTTTTGGTGCCATCGTAACTGTGAATGGTGGGCTTAACAGGGCAGCCTTAACGTTAAGCAAGGATGACCTCTACGGCTAAGGGGAAGGGAAGGATGAAGAGAGGAAGGAAGGAAGGAAGGAAGGAAGGAAGGAAGGAAGGAAGGAAGGAAGGAAGGAAGGAAGGAAGGAAGGAAGGAAGGGGAAAAAGAGAAAGAGGATGGCAGGCTATCTTTCCTCCCTCCCTCTCTCCTTCCCTCTCTCCCTACCTCCCTCTCTCCTTCCTTCCTTCTGTCCTTCCTTCCTCCCTCCCAACTCTCCTCCCTCCCTCCCTCCTTCCCTTCCTCCCTCCCTCCCTCTCTCCCTTCCTCTCTCCCTTCCTTCCTTCCGTCCTTCCTTCCTCCCTCCCGACTTTCCTCCCTCCCTCCCTCCCTCCCTCCCTCCCTCTCCCTTGCTCTCTCCCTTCCTTCCTTCCGTCCTCCCTTCCTCCCTCCCAACTTTCCTCCCTCCCTCCCTTCTTTCCCTCCTTCCTTCCTTCCCTCCCCTTCCTTCCCTGTTTCATCTTTTTCTCTTTCCTTTCCTCTCTTCCTTCCTCCCTCCGTCGCTTCCTTCCTTCCTTCATCCCTCCCTTTTTTCTCCCTCCCTTACCTCCCTTCCTTCCTTCTTTCCTTCCTTCATCCCTCCCTTTTTTCCTTCCTTCCTTCCCTCCCCTTCCTTTCCTTCCCTGTTTCATCTCTTTCCTTCTTTCCTTCCTCCCTCCCTCCCTCTGAATATTCATTTCATGACCACAGGGATGCTGCAGGGGCAGTGACTGTGAAAAACGGTCCTACCTCATTTTTTTTTTTGACTGCCGTCATCACTTCGAACGGTCACAAAGTGAACTGCTATAAGTTGAGGGCTGTCTGTACTCTGGCTTTTTTTTCTCCTAGCTGGGCGAAGGTCTTAAGGTCTCCCTCTACCTCCAGCTTAGCGGTCTGAATTTTGGGGCCCTGGGGTTCGTCTCGCCTTGCAGGTCCCTGCGCCTTGCCGATGGACGAGGGCGCCTGCCTGCAGTATGTGGTGGTGTGGTATTTCCACCCAGAAACGGACTCGTGCCGACCCTTTATCTACGGAGGCTGCGGCGGCAACGGGAACCGGTTCCCCTCGAAGCAAGAGTGTGAGCGGAGGTGCAAGGGGGGAAAAGGTGAGCTGGATCCCAACATTGGGGGTGGGGGTGGGAAGAGAAAATGAGCTTTTTCACAAAAATTCTCAAATGCACGAGGAATATCGAGGCGTCGATAATATTGAATCAATAAGGAGGAATAGACCAGGGCAGCAGGCTAGAAACGTGGAGGCAGTGAGTTCTAGTCCTGACTTTGGGCCAGGAGACAGGGAGTTCTAGTTTCGCCTTAGCCTTGAAAGCCAGCTGGGTGACTTTGGACCAATAGCGAAGGCAGGACTAGAACTCACCGTCTCCTGGTGATTGGCTCAAAGCCACCCAGCTGGCTTTCGTCTCTGAGGTGGGACTAGAACTCACTGTCTCCTGGTGATTGGTCTAAAGTCACCAAAGTGGCTTTCATCCCAGTCAGCTTTCATGGCTAAGGCAGGACTAGAATTCTCCATCTCCTGGTGATTGGCCCAAGTCACCTAGCTGGCTTTCATCCCTAAGGCGGGATTAGAACTCTCCATCTCCTGGTGATTGGCTCAAAGCCACCCAGCTGGCTTTCGTCTCTGAGGTGGGACTAGAACTCACTGTCTCCTGGTGATTGGTCTAAAGTCACCGAGATGGCTTTCATCCCTAAGGTGGGACTAGAACTCATGGTCTCCTGGCCCAAAGTCACCCAGTCAGCTTTCATGGCTAAGGCAGGACTAGAATTCTCCATCTCCTGGTGATTGGCCCACGTCACCCAGCTGGCTTTCATCCCTAGAACTCTCCATCTCCTGGTGATTGGCTCAAAGGTGGGACTAGAACTCACTGTCTCCTGGTGATTGGTCTAAAGTCACCCAGCTGGCTTTCATCCCTAAGGCGGGACTAGAACTCTCCATCTCCTGGTGATTGGCTCAAAGCCACCCAGCTGGCTTTTGTGTCTGAGGTGGGACTAGAACTCACTGTCTCCTGGTGATTGGTCTAAAGTCACCGAGATGGTTTTCATCCCTAAGGTGGGACTAAAACTCACTGTCTCCTGCCCCAAAGTCACCCAGTCAGCTTTCATGGACTAGAATTCTCCATCTCCTGGTGATTGGCCCAAGTCACCGAGATGGCTTTCATCCCTAAGGCGGGACTAGAACTCTCCATCTCCTGCTGATTGGCCCAAAGTCACTCAGTCAGCTTTCACACCTAGGGCAGGACTAGAACTCACCATCTCCTGGTTTCTCGCCTACTGCCTTAACCACTAGACCTTTTTTTTAACATCTTTTTTTCCCTCTTAAAGCTGAATTTTCATCCACGCTTCCTAAGGACGGAGGGCCGAACAGCTGGCGGACGCCCGTATGCTATCTCTTTCTCACTCTCCCTGCTGGCTTAAAATATTTTTATTTCTTTGTTTTTCCTCCTCTCCCCAGGAAGGTGACCGTCTGCAGAGCAAACAGGCAGCCTGGGGAAGGGCAAAGATAAGTCCTCTCCTGCACTGTACAGATGGCGAAAGAGCTGGACGTTTGCCCTGGAAATATTCTGTAAACAACATTTGTGTTAATAAATCCATTTGGAAAAAGGATATGGCTCCTGACGAAAAGCAGGAACCGTCGTGGTAGCCGGCCCTGTTCAGTCTTGAAATCCAGGTGCCCAAAGGCATAGAGATAGTCCCTGTGTCGTGATCCCGACAGATGAAACTCCTCAAAGAACCTTGAGGCATTGTTTACCTTAAAGAATCTTTAATCAAGCAGCATAGCGGGGCACTGACAGTCAAAGCCAAAATCTGAATTCCCCTCCCCTGAGCACATAGTATCCAAGCACCATTCCCTCCTCTAATTAACAGTCGTAAATCACATTCTCCAATTAGCTTGAAATGCAGGCTTTCCCTCCAGTTCTCCAATCGCCAATTCTTATCATCTCTTATTTCAATAACCTTGGTTCACACACTAGGTTCAGTATAGTCATGTCTAGCTAAACTCCATGCATATTCGTAGTCCTCCCCCCCCCACTGTCTGTCTTTCTGTCTATCTAACTATCTAGCTATCTTCTATGTCTACCTATCCATCTATCCATCCATCCACCTATCTATCTATCTATCTATCTATCTATCTATCTATCTATCTATCTATCTGTCTGTCTGTCTGTCTGTCTGTCTGTCTGTCTGTCTATCTACCTACCTACCTACCTACCTACCTATCTATCTATCTATCTATCTATCTATCTATCTATCTATCTATCTATCTATCTATCCATCTATCTTCTATGTCTACCTATCCATCTATCCATCCATCTACCCACCTATCTACCTTCCTACCTACCTACCTATCTATCTATCTATCTATCTATCTATCTATCTATCCATCCATCCATCTATGTCTATCTATCCATCCATCCATCCATCCACCCACCCATCTACCTACCTACCTACCTACCTATCTAGCTAGCTATCTTCTATCTATCTTCTATGTCTACCTATCCATCTATCCATCCATCCACCCACTATCTACCTACCTACCTACCTACCTACCTATCTATCTACCTACCTACCTACCTACCTACCTACCTACCTATCTATCTACCTATCTACCTACCTACCTATCTACCTACCTACCTACTTATCTATCTATCTACCTACCTACCTACCTACCTACCTACCTACCTACCTACCTACCTACCTATCTATCTATCTATCTATCTATCTATCTATCTATCTATCTATCTATCTATCTACTATGTCTACCTATCCATCTATCCATCCATCCACCCACCTATCTACCTATCTACCTATCTACCTATCTATCTATCTATCTATCTATCTATCTATCTATCTATCTATCTATCTCTGTCTTCAATTAATCAGAATAGAGCTGGAAGGGACCCTGAAGGTCTTCTAGTCCAGCCCCTTGCTCAAGCAGGGGACCCTCTACCATTCCAGACAAAGTGGCTGTCCAGTCTTTTCTTTAAAAATCCTCCGGTGATGAAGCACCCACAACTTCTGGAGGGAAGCTGTTCCACTGGCTAATTATTCCCACTTAGGAAGCTTTTTTTTAGAGCAGACAAATACCAACCAGCACCCTCATCCCGTTTAAAATGAATATATTCACAATATCTGCTTCATAGATTCTCTAACCCCCTGATGAGGAAAAGGCATCCTCAGAGACCCCAGCAGGCTGATCCACTGCTTCCTAGCTCTGATTTATTTTGGTTTTGACCTCCCCCCCTTCTGAAAAAAAAATATGATATTTTCTGGAAGGTTAGAAGGCTCATTAGTGCCCACTTAGCTGACTCTTCCAAATTCATTAGGAGCAGAAGAGGTGAGAATTAGCAAGCAATCTCAACCAATTTGTTCCCCCTTAGTGAGGTAGCTAGAAACCCACCCCCCCAGATTGACGGGATGAGGTGAGGTAGCCGTTGCAAAAACCCGTTTTTGCAAAACCGTTTTCACTCCGAATTACAGCAAAAGTTCCCTTCACTTGTGTTCCCCCCCCCTTTTTTTTTTTTTTGCAATCCTGTTTTCCGACCAACTGCCCTGAAATCAGAATAAAAATTCTCAGCCCAGGTTGCTCCAGGCTAGACATGATTGTGCCATTGCATTATAATGTATTACTAATAGTAATAGTAGTAAAGTTGGAAGGGACCTTGGAGGTCATCTAGTCCAACCCCCTGCTCGGGCAGGAAACCCTACACCATTTCGGACAAATGGCTGTCCAGTCTCTTCTTAAAAACTTCCAGTGTTGGAGCATTTACTGCTTCTGGAGGCAAGCTGTTCCACTGATTAATTGTTCTCACTGTCAGGAAGTTTCTCCTTAGTTCTAGGTTGCTTCTCTCCTTGATTAGTTTCCACCCGTTGCTTCTTGTCCTGCCTTCAGGTGCTTTGGAAAATAGCTTAATTCCCTCTTCTTTATGGCAGCCCGTGAGATATTGGAATACTGCTATCATGTCCCCCCTTGTCCTTCTCTTCGTTAAACTAGACATACCCAATTCTCGCAACCGTTCCTTATATGTTTTAGCCTCCAGTCCCCTAATCATCTTTGTTGCTCTTCTCTGTACTCTTTCTAGAGTCTCAACATCTTTTTTACATCGTGGTGACCAAAACTGGATGCAGTATTCCAAGTGTGGCCTTACCAAGGCATTGAAGAGTGGTATTAATACTTCACGTGATCTTGATTCTATCCCTCTGTTAATGCAGTATTCTTTATTTTATTATTAGATTTTTCTCCCGCTTGAATTACTTTAAAAGTGACTCAAGTGGCGAACGTAGCAAATGCGCCTTCTTCCTATTTTCCTCACGACAACAGTCCTGTGAGGTGGGCTAGGCTGAGAGGGAGGGACTGGCCCAAAGTCATTCAGTTGGCTTTTATGCCTAGAACTCACCATCTCCTGGTGATTGGCCAATCACCCAGCAGGTCTTTCAGGTCTAAGGTGGGATTAGACCAGGGGTAGGCAACCTCAGCTCTTTTATGACTGGTGGACTTCAACTCCCAGAATTCCTGAGCCAGCCATGCTGAGGGGAAAGGGAGAGGTTTCCAAGCTGAGCCATGCTGGCTCAGGGATTCTGGGAGTTGAAGTCCACAAGTCATGAGGGGGCCATAGTTCCCCCATGCTGGCTGAGGAATTCTGGGAGTTGAAGTCCACAAGTCATGAGGGGGCCATAGTTCCCCCATGCTGGCTGAGGAATTCTGGGAGTTGAAGTCCACAAGTCATGAGGGGGCCATAGTTCCCTCATGCTGGCTGAGGAATTCTAGGAGTTGACGTCCACCAGTCATAAAAGAGCCAAGGTTTCCTACCCCTGGTCTAGTCCATTCTTAAAAACCTGGGGAATGGAAGGATCTTGTCCAGGGGTAGGCAACCTTGGCTCTTTTATGACTGGTGGACTTCAACTCCCAGAATTCCTGAGCCAGCCACGCTGAGGGGAAAGAGAGAGATTTCCAAACTGAGCCATGCTGGCTCAGGAATTCTGGGAGTTGAAGTCCACGAGTCATAAAAGAGCCAAGGTTGCCTACCCTTGGACTATAACTCTCAGCCTGGAAATATGCCGACTTCCTTGCAGGCAGACCTTCCCAAAAGTTGGCAAGGGTCCTCAAGACATGGACGTGAGAATGGATTTTGGGGTGGGGGAGTGGCCAGGCTGGAGAAACTCAGGAATTCTGGGAGTTGAAGTCCAACATGTTTAAATTGGTGGTAGGTGATCTCAGATCCGCCCTGGAGAATTCTCAAGATCACCCTCAACCTCTTCTTCCTGGCCAAAGATCCACTCCAAGAAGGTGAAGGCAGGTCACTTCAACCCTGACAGACATGGATCCGGAATAACAGAATAACACAATGGGAGGGGACACTGGAGGTCTTCTAGTCCAGCCCCCTGCTCAGGCAGCAGACCCTTACAGAATTATTTGTTCAGTGAATCCCTGCCGCGGTTAAATTAGTCACCCGCCTGTTCGCATCCGCCTTTCCCCATTGTCGGTGGGTCGCAAAGCGGGGTCACAGGACCCCGGGCACACGGCAAACCGTCGTAAGTAGGAACCGGCTGCCGAGCCCCCGAATGTAAATCACGTCGCCACTGGGGAGGCTGCAACCGTCGCTAAGGGTGAAAAGCGGTCCTAAATTCGCATTTTTCCAGTTCCGTCGTAACTTTGAACTTTCGCTAAGCGAATGGCTGTAAGTTGAGGACTGGCTGGTTTAAGACACCCCCAAGTCTTGCATCTTCGGAAAACGCCCTCTGATCTCTGGATTGTGTCGGTTACACCTTGCAGGACTCTAGATCAGCAGGAAAAGAAAAAACAACGGATACATTTAAGCGGTGCCAGCGATAAGACCCGTAATAAAATTCCCTCCCATCCTAATATATATATATATATATATATATATATATATATCTATATATATATATTATATGTGTGTGTATGTGTATGTTGTATGTGTATGTGTATGTATATGTATATATATGTAGTATGTGTGTTGTATATATAGTATATATATATATATATATATATATATATATATATATGGCATCTCTGCCCTGTGACGTTACTAGCTGGCATCATCTCGTTCCAAGGAGATCCTTTTAAAGCCATTAACATATCATTTCCTCTCTCTCCGTTCCCCCCTGTATACATATATCATATATATATATATATATATATATATATATATATATATATATATATATATATATATATATGTAAAAAAAAAATATCCAAGGCTGGGCAGGAGAAAGGAAGTGCTTCCACAGAGAACACACAAGGCAGTTTCTCCTCCCCTCCCCCCCCAAAATAAAACCGAAATAAAATAAATCCAAGGGGAGACACACATCTGATCAAGTTCAGATCCAACTGGGATGCCTTCAGTCTTGAGCGTCAAGACCGGACTTCGCCACTAAGCAAGACAAGAGACGCACCTCGGCTTCCCGAGACCGTCTCAGGTATGTGCATTTTTTTTTTCTTCGCCTGCTTTTCTAGGGGGGGGGGGAGAGAAACCTGGGAACTTTGCAAAAAAAAAAATAAGAAGAAGAAAAAATAAAATAGTTACCTGAACGGATCGCAGAGCCACCAGACAGGTGAGGAAGGGATCAAAGTTAAATTAATTGGAAGCCGATTTGAAAGAGAGGCTGTCGGTCACTCACTTTTGGGGAGTTTTGCCCAAGGGATGGAAGGGAAGATGTGTTTGCCATTTGGCAGAGTGGACTTTGAAATTGCAATCTTTATTGTTGCATTAATCTTTGGAAAGAGACGAGCAGGGCGTCGGGAGGCAGAGAGGAGAGCTACAGAGATGCTTTAAAAATGATCAGGAAGGAACAATCTGGAGAGTTTTCGCCAACATAAAAGAGGTGCAAAGCAATGGGGGAACAGCTGACTCTCCTGCTTTAATTAGCCAGAAGATATATGGTTAAAAGAATATTCAAAACAGAGGATCAAAAGGAGAGGTGAGATTCTGATTAGGAAATATCCAAAGGAGCATCCTTGAAGTGGATGAAGGGAGATTTTTCCTATCCCGAACCAGTTTCAAACCAATTGCGAGCAAAACTTTGCTCCAGAAATACTGGAGCTTCCTCGACATCCGAAGACTTTTGCAACAGCATCCGAAATAATTTTGGGAAACACAATAGTTTACCTCTCTTATTTCCCCCCCTAAGATGTTTTTAGTCCCTTAAATTCATTCCAAGAATCTAGTTCCAAAGTGGCATTTTATTCTATGTTATTATTTTGAAGCATACATTATTTTAAGGTAGGTACATTTTTTATGGCGTGCATGTTATTCCTTTACATTACATTCAAGTTCAAGGGATGCATGTTTTAAGACATGTTCATATCATTTTTTTAAACTATACACATGTTTAAGATATGCCCATTTTAAGACAGGCACCTGCTATTATTTTCTAAAGTGTACACATATTTAAAGGTGTATTGTTTTTGGACTCCATGAAATATTTGACTTTGACATAGTTAAAGAATGTACATTTTTAAGATGCTCAAGTTATTATTTTTACGTATACATTTGTTTAAAGAATGCACCTGTATTGTTCTTATACATAAAGATCTGCACATTTTAAGACATGCACATGTTATGTTTTAAGGACGCACATGTTTAAGGCATGGACATGTTTAAGGCATACATGTTATTTTTTACGTAACCCATTTAAGATATGCACATTTTAAGATATGTACATGTTATTGTTTTCTTTAAAGAATACACATACAGGTATTTAAGATTATGCATATTTTAAGGCATGCATGTTATTATTTTTTTTTAATTATACACATTTAAGATATGCACATTTTAAGATATGTACATGTTATCGTTTTCTTTAAAGAATACACATACAGGTATTTAAGCTATGCACATGTTATTATTTTTTTAAAATTATACACGTTTAAGATATGCACATTTTAAGGCATGAGTGTGTTTATTTATTTATTTTTTGAGGTAGCTGAGGAACAGGGTCTGAAAGGCTGGCATATAACAGGATCTCTGTTTGAGATTTGAATTCAACACATTCTTGATCTGATGTCTCCTGAGCCTCTACAGAGTGCCGAAAGAAGACAGAGCAATTAAGTCAATTTTTCTCAACCTTAGCAACTTTCAGAGGTGTGGACTTCAACACCCAGAATTCCCCAGCCAGCTAAGGTTGAGAAAACAGAATTAATTAGTAGAAGGTTCATTAAAGATTCATTAAAGAGAGACAAACGCTTCTGATACAACTGGACGGGCAACCGTCAAAGACGGCTAGCGACGTTTATCAGATGTGAAGCCACCAGCCAGGTTGATTCAGACATCCGTCAGATGGGCAAGCCTGCGTTCTCCCTAAAATAGATCAGAAAGTGCAAAAAAAGAGAAAGATGATTAAACCCAGAATCTCTGTTGGCTACAATAAACCAGGAGAGACAGAAAGAGATGGAGAAGGTTTATCTGAAGACTCTTCTCGTTTTCGGCTTTGTGATATTTGCCCAACAGGTTAAAGCAGCAGGAAGGAAGGGAGGGAGGGAGGGAGGGAGGGAGGGAGGGAGGAAGGAAGGAAGGAAGGAAGGAAGGAAGGAAGGAAGGAAGGAAGGAAGGAAAAGAGAGGGAAGGAGGAAGAAAAAGGGAGGGAGGAAGGAAGGGAGGCAGGAGGGAGGGAGGGAGGAAGGAAGGAAGGAAGGAAGGAAGGAAGGAAAAGGAAGGGAGAGAGGGAGGAAGGAAGGAAGGAATAAAAAGGAAGGAAGGAAGGAAGGAGGGAGGGAGGGAAGGAAGGAAAAAGGGAGGAAGGAAGGAAGGAAGGAAGGAAGGAAGGAAAAGAGGGGGAGGAAGAAAAAGGGAGGGAGGAAGGAAGGAAGGCAGGAGGGAGGGAGGGAGGAAGGAAGGAAGCAAGGAAGGAAGGAAAAGGGAGGGAGAGAGGGAGGAAGGAGGAAGGAGGGAAGGAAGGAAAAAGGGAGGGAGGAAGGAAGGAAGGAAGGAAGGAAAAGAGGGGGGAGGAAGAAAAAGGGAGGGAGGGAGGGAGGAAGGAAGGAAGGAAGGAAGGAAGGAAGGAAGGAAGGAAGGAAGAAAAAAGGAAGGAAGGAAGGAAGGAAAAAAGGGAGGGAGGGACGGGGAGGAAAGAAGGAAGGAAGGAAGGAAGGAAGGAAGAAAAAAGGGAGGGAGGGAGGAGGGAGGGACGGGGAGGAAGGAAGGAAGGAAAGAAGGAAGGAAGGAAGGAAGGAAGGAAGGAAGGAAGGAAAAGGGAGGGAGGGAGGGAGGGAGGAAGGAAAGAAGGAACGGAGGGAGGGAAGGAGGGAGGGAGGAAAGGGAGGGAGGGAGGAATTCTTGAGAGTGCTTTTCTCTTAACAAATGTGTTTTTTCTCGTGCTAATTTATGGTGGAGTAAAGAGAGCAGAGCGAAGATTTAAAAAGCACTGAAATTATATGCGGGGGTTTATACCAAAGATTCGTAAATCCATAAGGAATCCATAGGGAATTTGGGAAAAAGAACTTTAGACTGACGGAATTCAAAGGGCTTCGCTTACTCCGTGATGGGAGACCCTTGAACAATAAAGTAATAAGTAAAAAAAAAAAAAAAAATTGGACCAGAAATATGAAACCCAATTTGCTTAAACGCTTTTATTCGCCCCTTTGATAAATTTCGACTATGCAGAGTCCTGATATGGGTGGTCTTCCACTTACGACCACCCCTGAGCCCAAAATTTCTGTCGTTAAGTGAACCATTTGTTAAGTGAGTTTTGCCCTATCTTTGGCCAGCGGTGGCTCAGCTACCGTTGAGGATATCCAGGAAAGACGAGTTTCTTGTCTCTCTAGGATGCTGGCTTAAATTCCAGACTACAGGTAGTCCTCGACTTATGATGACTCATTTAGTGACCGTTCAAAGTCACAAGGGCCCTGAAAAAAGTGACCTATGGCTGCTTTTCATGCTTACGACCGTTGCAACAGCCCCGCAGTCACGGGATCAAAATTCGTTCTCTTGGCGACTTGACTCACATTTACGACGCTCGCAGTGTCCCCAGGGTCACGTGATCCCCTTTGGCAAACTTCTGACGCGCAAAGTCAGTAGGGGAAGCTCGATTGGGTTAGGGACTTCAGCGAGTCACTTAACCAATGTGACAAGAAAGGTCGTAAAATGGGGCCAGACTCACTTAACAAATGTCTCGCTTAGCGAGGGAAATTTTGGGCTCCCTTGCGGTCGTAAGTCGAGAACTGCCTGTATTTCTCTTTTTAATGTAAGATGTTCTGGACTTGGAAAATAAGAAAGAAAGAAAGAAAGAAAGAAAGAAAGAAAGAAAGAAAGAAAGAAAGAAAGAAAGAAAGAAAGAAAGAAAGAAAGAAAGAGGGAGGGAGGGAGGGAGGGAGGGAGGAAGGAAGGAAGGATATGGGAATGACAGGAAGGAAGGAAGGAAGGAAGGAAGGAAGGAAGGAAGGAAGGAAGGAAGGAAGATGGGAATGAGAGGAAGGAAGGAAGGAAGGAAGGAAGGAAGGAAGGAAGGAAGGAAGGAAGGAAGGAAGGAAGGAAGGAAGGAAGGAAGGAAGGAAGGAAGGAATGAGAGGAAGGAGGGAGGGAGGGAAGGAAGGAGATGGGAATGACAGGAAGGAAGGAAAGAAAGAAGGAAGGAAATTATAGAAATAGAAATAGAAATAAAGAGAGGAGAGAGAGAGAGAAAAGAAAGAGAGAGAAGAGAGAGAGAAAAGAAAGAACAAGAAAGAAAGAAAGAAAGAAAGAAAGAAGAGAGAAAAGAAACAGAGGACAGAGAGAAAAAGAAAGAAAGAAAGAAAGAAAGAAAGAAAGAAAGAAAGAAAGAAAGAAAGAAAGAAAGAAAGAAACCCGGCTCACATGCAGCTGGTGATCAGTTGCGACACCTTCGCAAATGTTACTAGAAACGTACATCAACATTTGATTTCTTTTCAATTTATTTCGGCAGGCCATGCACTGCCTACGAAGTTCTGTTTTCCGAATAAATGGGGTGCCATCTTTGCCAACTCACAAAGTTGATTAAAAGGCATGAAAGCGTCTGTCTTTTCATAAAATCTGCCAATGGCAAAAGATCCCTTTAAAAAAGATTGGCTAGCCATAAACTAACCACGTTTAATTGACGGGACGGTGAATTGACTTGCAGTGCTAGAGAAAAGCCACCAGGTGGCGCCCAATCACTGCAAAAAGCCGACGGAAAGCTCAAAGGATTATATTATTATTATTATTATTATTATTATTATTATTATTATTATTATTATTATTATTATTATTATTATTATTATTATTATTAATCATTGCACAGTCAGCCAGATGTTCAGACTGGATTTGGCATTTTGTCTACCTATCGAGTCCTTATCCAGGACCTGGGATAGGCAGATGTGGATGTTTGGTGGTATTACAGATATCGTCGCAGGATAGAAGCAGTTCTTAGTAAGGCCGCCTTTTGCAATTGACTAATAGCGAATTTGTCAATGCCGATGATAGTGTTCAAATGGTGCTCCAGTTGTTTTGGGATTGTACCCAAGGCGCCTATGACTATTGGTACTACCCTTGCTTGCTTTTGCCACAATCTTTCTATTTCTATTTGTAGGTCTTTGTATTTTGTTATCTTCTCCAGTTCTTTCTCGTCTATTCTGCTGTCTCCAGGCACTGCCATGTCCACTATCCAGACTTTTTTGTCTTTCTTATCGACAATTGTTAAGTCTGGGGTCTTATGTTGCAGGTGCTTGTCTGTTTGAATTCTGAAGTCCCAGAGCAGTTTAATTTTATCATTTTCTATGACTTTCTCTGTTTTATGATCCCACCAGTTTTTGCTTACAGGCAAATGATATTTTTTGCAGATCTTCCAATGCACCACTGTTGCTACTTTGTCATGCCGCTGCTTGTAGTCAGTCTGTGCAATCTTCTTGCAACAGCTTACCAGGTGGTCCACTGTTTCTTCAGCTTATTATTATTATTTTAATCTGGAGCATTTGAGAACGTTACATTTCATTCCTCCTCCACATTTCCCCCTACCCAAAGACTATCAGCTTCCCACTTATGATAATGGCACCCTTAAAAGCAAGGCTCGTCTCTGTGCTAAATTGTTTTATGTTTGTCTTGAAAACAAACCTGTTTCGTAAGTCATGGCAACCACGAGTTTCCCTTCGGCATCTGTATGGGCTGAGAAGGGATACCCAACAAACGCATCTGGATTTTTATTCATCTGGCTTTTATTGTCTGAATTTGGTGAGGAAAAACATCCACCCCCAAATCTCTGGAGCAACTTAGAAAGTCGTAATGTAAAAATCTAGATTTCACCCTTCTGGATCAAGAAAAGGGTTTGGGTGGGGTGGCCATACCGGACAGCTGTTTCAAAATCCAGACAGGTAGTCCTCTACTTATGACCACCATTGAGCCCAGAGTTTTGGTTGCTAAGCGAGACCGTTGTTCAGTGAGTTTTGCCCCGTTTTACGTCCTTTCTTGACACAGTCCTGAAGGGAATCGCTGCACTTCCTAAAGCGAATCTATTTTCCCCATTGATTTCATTAGTCAGATGGTCGCAAAAGGGGGGTCACGTGACCCCAGGAAATGCGACCGTCATAAGAACGTGAACGAGTTCCCAAGTGGCTGAATGTTGACCATGTTGCCACAGGATGCACAATGAGCTGTGGGAAGAATCCAGAGAAAGAAATATTTGGGGGGGATATTAAAAAGGCAGAATATTATATTTCCCCAAAGGATCTTAAAAGGCAGAAACCAACACACACACACCCCACAAGTCTTTTTACCCCAAACAGAAACCAGGTCTGCAGAAATGCAGAGGTGATCATCCTTTCAGAAAGACTGGAGCCAGGAAGCTTAGAACTGATGGGATTAGAAAGACCAAGATCCCTAGAATTAACAATCCCTCACAGCCCAAAAATCCAACACAGGACATAGCCATCAGCCCCAGCCCCAGGGAAGCATAATAGGATTAACCCACCACCATCAGAATACCAGAAAGGCACCCTCAGACTCAGGTCAAAGTTCACGCCACAGGAACAACTCCAAACAAAAGGCTCAAGAAGGTATAAAAACCCACTCCCTACATGTGCTCTCTCTTTTCTTCCAGAGCCATCTTTCTGTCTGGCTCTCCTCTTCAATAAACTGCAACCTTCTTTCTAAAGCAGTCTCCATTTTGATTATTCCCGGCTTGGACTGGACCTCGATGAAGATTTTTCTTTCAACAGGTCGTAACTGTGAAAAACGGTCCTAAGTCACTTTTTCAGTCCCGTTGTAACTTTGAACGGCCGATAAACGAACTGCTGTAAGTCTGCTGTACAGAACCATATATACAAGTAGCAACCGTTCCTTTAGTGACCGTTCAAAGTTACAACGGCGCTGAAAAAATGTGACTTAGGACCGTTTTTCGCAGCAGCATCCCCAGGGTCACGTGATCAAAATTCAGGTGTTTGGCAACTGACTCCTATTTATGACCAGGAGGGTCATGTGATCCCTTTTTGCGACCTTCCGACAAGCAAAATCCATAGGGAAGCCGGATTCACTTAACAACCGGGTTACTAACTGATCAACGGCAGCGATTCGCATAACAGCTGTGGCGAGAAGGGGCGTAAAATGGGGCAAAATTCAGTTAACTAATGTCTCACTTAACCCCAGAAATTAAGGTTCAGTTGTGGTCGTAAGTTGAGGACTTACCTGTATGGACTCAGCTCCTCCAGCAATTTGGCCAGGGTCCTGCCCAAGGCCCATGTTCCTAAACCTTCTCTCCTTCTTTGGTGGCACAGGCTACGTGGTACCATGCACCCCTCAAGACTTCTGCTCCTCCTGCTGGTTCTCTCCACCATTAAGACCAGCTCGTCCTTCAACGCCGAGTCCATCTTCAGCTGTCTCAACTCCGCTCTCTCCCAGGCCAAGAAGGACCTCATGGGTGAGAACTCAGTCCTGGAGAAGAGGGCCTTCGTCATCCCTCTGGAAGGGGAAGACTCCGACTCCTACGAGGACATCCGGGCAGAGAAGGAGAAAAGGACTTTCCCGGCCGTCACGCGCTACGTCTCCCTCGGCCAGGCGAAAGGGAAGGTGTCCCACAACCAAGGCAAGAACGACCGGCGGGCTAAATTTACTCTTTCCTTGGACGTCCCAACCAACCTCATGAACATCCTCTTCAACATCGCCAAAGCAAAGAGCCTGAGAGCAAAGGCGGCCAGCAACGCTCAGCTGATGGCCCACATCGGCCGGAGGAAGTGAGGGAAGGGTCAGGAGAGGTGACCGGGGAGAAGGCCTCAACCCTACCTTCAGGTCTTCGGAGATGGGACTGTCCAACGTCAAGCACAAGAGACGGTCTCTCTCCTCCGTCTCCCGAAGCTCCCCAACCGTCGTTCTCTTTCTTTCTCCCCTTGTCCTTCCCGTCTCTCTCTCTCGTCCTTCTTCTTGGTTTCGGCCCCCGAGGAACTTGAGCTAAGGGGAACTTCGGATGCCGGTCAAAAATGTGAAGGAGAAAAGGCTGCTGGCTTTTACGTGATGCAGGTCCCCATTAAAGCAAATTCTCTTGAGTTTCTAATTCTTCCTTCTTCTTTTTCTGCCACTGAGTCTGACCCACAGCGTTGGCCCCAGCCAGCCTTTGTTGCCACGAGCATCATAGGAATCCCAAACTGTGTGTGTGTGGGAGGGTCCTTCGTCCTCTCTGAGTTTGGAGATTTTCGTGCAGATGTTTCATTAGCTATCTAGGGAATATGATCAGTGTTAGAAGAGAGGAGGGAGGAGGAGGAGGAGGAGGAGGAGGAGGAGGAGGAGGACAATGACAACGACAACAACTGTGATATGCTTGGTATTCTCTGAGCTTGGCTGATTTTTTTGAAGATATTTCATGACCCAAGTAGTAACATCATGCCAGAAGGGAGTGCGGTTTGTGGAGAGGAGGAGGAGGAGGGGGAGGAGGAGGAGGACGACAATGACAACGACTACAATGACAACTGTGGGGTCCTTGGTGCTCTCTGAGTTTGGTGATTTTCATCCAGATGTTTCATTACCTAACTAGGGAACATGATCTTTATGATCCCTGCCCAAAAGGCCAACACAGTGCTAGGCTGTCTTCACAGAGGGATAGAATCAAGATCAGGTGAAGTGTTAATACCACTTTACAAGGCCTTGGTGAGGCCAACCTAGAATCCTGCATCCAGTTTTGGTCACCACGATGTAAAAAAGATGTTGAGACTCTAGAAAGAGTGCAGAGAAGAGCAACAAAGATGATCAGAGGACTGGAGGTTAAAACATATAAGGAATGGCTGCTGGAATTGGGAATATCTAGTTTAATGAAAAGAAGGACGAGGGGGGACATGATAGCAGCCTTCCAGTATCTCAGGGGCTGCCCTAAAGAAGAGGGAGTCAAGCTATTCTCCAAAGCCCCTGAAGGCAGGACAAGAAGCAACGGATGGAAACTCATCAAGGAGAGAAGCAACCTGGAACTAAGGAGAAACTTCCTGACAGTTAGAACAATTAACCAGTGGAACAACCTGCCTCCAGAAGCGGTGAATGCTCCAACACTGGAGGTTTTTAAGAAGAAACTGGACAACCATTTGTCCGAAATGGTATAGGATTTCCTGCCTGAGCAGGGGGCTGGACTAAATGACCTCCAAGATCCCTTTCAACTTTACTATTATTATTATTATTATTATTATTATTATTATTATTATTATTATTATTATTATTATTATTATCAGTGCTAGAAGGGAGTAGAGTTTGCGGGGAGGGGGAGGAGGAGGAGTTGTGGAATCCTTGGTGCTCTCTGAGCTGGGTGGTTTTCTTGCAGACGTTTCATGATCAAACTAGATAACAGCATCAGTGCTAGAAAGGAGAAGGGTTTAGTCGCTGTTTATATACACACGGCTTACCCTTTAAACAACAGCCTAAAACCACAAAGAACACTCCCACCCACATTGACAGGGCAGCCACCTGGCAAGTGACTCATATTTATGACGGCTTCCCCTTTTACGACCTGCAGACAATCGACGACAATGGGGAAGACTGATTCCTTTAACAAGCGTGTCACTAACTGAACAACTGAAGGGATCCACTTAACTGCTGTAACAAGCCAGGTCGTAAAATGGGGCAAAACTCACTTAACAACTGTCTCATTTAGCGACAGAAAGGTTGGGCTCCATTGTGGCTACACGTAGGAGGTCCACCTCTACTAGGATTCTCCCAGGCCCACTGAGGATTCCTTATCATTTTAACGGTTGTTCTGTTTTGCTAGAATTCTCCTGACACCTGGCTGGCTGCAATGATTTATTAGAAGGAGTAACTTGTAGCCTGGAAGGATGAAAAAATATGGGCAGATCTGGCCACAGGTTGACCTCCCAAACAAGGCGTGACCAACATTTTGGCCAGAAAGTGTAGCTTTTATCCTACACTGAACTATTTGGGCCTGCTTAAATCTCTCGGGGTGAGGGATGTATTCAAAGGGAGGACATGCAGAAGGATGACACCCCCACACCATGATTGATCCCATGGATGCATAGAAGAACTGAAGGCTGCATCTGTTCTTTTTAGCTTAATGAAAAAAAGGACCAGGGGTGCCATGAGAGCAGTCTTCCATCATCTCAGGGGCTGCCCCAAAGAAGAGGGAGTCAAGCTATCCTCCAAAGCACCAAACGGCAGGAGAAGAAACAACGGATGGAAACCAATCAAGGTTTCCAGTTTTGCATCCAGTTTTGGTCACCACGATGTAAAAAAGATGTTGAGACTCGAGAAAGAGTACAGAGAAGAGCAACAGAGATGATCAGAGGACTGGAGGTTAAAACATGTAAGGAACAGTTGCTGGACAACATGGTTGTTGAATGTCTTCTTAAAAACTTCCAGTGTTGGAGCATTCACAACTTCTGGTGGCAAGTCGTTCCACTGGTTAATGGTTCTAACTGTCAGGAAATTTCTTCTTGGTTCTTAGGTTGCTTCTCTCCTTGATTAGTTTCCATCCATACTGTGACGGTTTGTTCGAGGATCAGTCATCAGTTACTTTTTTCAGTGCCCTTGTAATTTCGAAGCGTCGCTAAATGAACAGTTATAAGTCAAGGACTTATGAATCTCCGTGACCGCAAAGCAATCTAGGACACGCAATCTAGGCCAGAGCAGAGCTGAAGGCCGAAGGGCAAAGCGGGTGAGTGTCCCGGATCTGCTCCAAATGATTTAATTCTAGTTCTGGTTTCAGATTTGCAAATCAATTTCCGAGATAAAACAAAAACGGCATTTTCAATGCCGTTTGTTATTAACCAGAAGAAAAAAGGAGATGGATTCGCACCCCCCCCCCCAAAAAAATCTAATTTTGTGCTCCATAAATGGAAAGAAAAGTAAACCCAAGAAAAAAAGTTTGCATTCCAGCTTTCTCCTAATTTACACTCTCTGCTCAAAAACATTTGCTGAATTTATTAGCCGAACTCCCATTTAAAAAAAACAAAAAACAAACAAACATAAATTGTAGCTTGGGGCCCCCAAGCTTAAAATCCAGATTTCCACGGACAAATTTTGGCTGGCCTCATGCAGAAGAGTCAAAGGCAGTGCTTTTAATCATGATTAGGTTTTCTTGAAGCTTAGGGCATTGTGCAATCTCCGGATACTGTGGCCGTTCCATCACTTGCTGGAATCTAGAATGTGGATTATCTATCTATCTATCTATCTATCTATCTATCTATCTATCTATCTATCTATCTATCTATCTATCATTTATCTTCCATCTATCATCTATCTATCTACCTATCATTTATCTGTCTACCATCCATCCATCCATCTATCCATCTTTCATCTATTTACCTATCATCCATCTATATTTCGTCTTCTACCTGTCATCTGTCTGTCTGTTTATCTATCTATCTATCTATCATTTATCTTCTATCTATCATCTATCTAGCTATCATCTATCTGTCTGTCTCTGTCTGTCTGCCTATCTATCTATCTGTCTATCTACCTACCTACCTATCTATCTATCTATCTATCTATCTATCTATCTATCTATCTATCTATTTATCTATCTATCATTTATCTTCCATCTATCCATCTATCTACCTATCATCTATCTGTCTACCATCCATCCATCCATCTATCCATCTTTCATCTATTTACCTATCACCCATCTATATTTCATCTTCTACCTGTCATCTGTCATTCTGTCTCTGTCTGTCTGTCTGTCTGTCTGTCTGTCTGTCTGTCTGTCTGTCTATCTATCTATCTATCTATCTATCTATCTATCTATCATTTATCTTCCATCTATCATCTATCTAGCTATCCTCTATCTGTCTGTCTCTGTCTGTCTGTCTGCCTATCAATCTATCATCTATTTATCTGTCATCTATCTATCCATTGTCTATCCATCTATCGAACTATCTATCCATCCATCATCTATCAATCATCTAACAATCACCTATCTATCAATCATCTACCCATCATCTATCTATCTATCTCTCATCAAATGTATACTGCCAGCCTTCTCACAAATGAGACTGAGCAGTGTAGAATAAGCAAGCAATTAAAAAACAAACCTAAAGCAACCATTAAAAAACAATTCAGCCCTTAAAGACCCTTCATCACAAGTATGAAGTAAGGAGATACAACTATTTCGAGGCTTTCCTGTTCTGCCCTGGCTGGTTGTAATTGTTGAGGAACAGCTGAGGAAACAAAATCTTCAGGCACCTTCATGTGTTCCACTTAATTAAACCACAATCAAGTATGTTGCTTGAGTCTTCAATCTTGAGCTAAGAACAACTTCTGGTAAATAATGTCAGGTAATGTCAGGTAATGTCAGGTAATGTCAGGTAATGTCAGCATACTTAACCCAATTACTAACTCATTTTCTGGCTTGGCACAAAACTTTAAACCAGGAGTGTCCCATTTTGGCAACTTTAAGACTTGTGGACTTCAACTCCCAGAATTCCCCAGCCAGTCAGCTGAGGAATTCTGGGAGTTGAAGTCTACCAATCTTAATGTTGCCAATGTTAGACGTCCTTGCATTAAGCCAGTGGTTCTCCACCTGTGGGTCGGGACCCCATTTGGGGTCGAACGACCATTTCACGGGGGTCGCCAAACAACGCAGTCCGCCATTTTTTTCCCCCTTTTTCTTAGCTGTGCTCCTCCCTTTTATTCTATTGGCTTTTGAAAGCCAATAGAAGAGACTCTCTTGAATAGAGTCTAATTCTATTGGCTTTCCAAAGCCAATAGGAATTGTCCAGGCTGTCTCTGCCCTGCTGAGCCCGCCAAAAGTCCCATTCTGCAAACAGTGCTGCACCAGTTGAGCAGTCCTCAACTTACGACCGGTTGGGGGTCGCGGCATTAAAAAGGTTGAGAACCACTGCATTAAGCCAACCCAAACATGCCAGATATCTCACTATCCACCTAGCCACAAAAACAAACCAAAGCTAAAACTAACCAGATTTAGCCGATTGTGGGGATTCTGCTATTGACCCAGCTAAGCATATTATGTGAACACAGTCACATGGTTGAACAATGCCATGCCTATCTAAGATCATATTTTTTCCAGCATGAGCCCGTTTATCGCATCTTCCCACGC